GACATAGTGTGTCCTTGGATAATCCATTCGTCAAGGCTCTGGGCGCTGGCGTCAAGCTGGTGGCTGCGGTACACAAAGGCGCGGTCCTTGTCTTTCTCGTTGGGCATCGTGATGTTCAGCAGCAGATGCTGGGAATCGAACGGGAACTGGCGTAGGTCAAAATTCATCTGCACCTTGGCGTGAAACCGATATGTCACCGACACCTCGCCAGTTGTGGAACACACAACGCGCACGCAGGGGCCCTCCTCCAGCACTGACTCTACCTTGTTGTGGATGTCCAGATCGGGGACGTCGATCTGGCCGAGCTTCCCGCCCATCAGCCGCGTCCCTTCTGGCAGGCCGCGCGCCTTGTCGTCGAGCCACCCGAGCGTGACCGAGAACTTGCACTCGAAAGTGGTCGTCATTGGACTGATGTCGTGGAGGAGCCACACGTAAAGGTCCACCGACACGGCCCGGCCGACACTTCGCCCCACCTGAACGGAGCTGCGATCGCACGTGGGCCCTCGGTAGTGGAGGCCCTTCCGGAGGCTGACCAACTGCTGCTGGGCAGCGCCAGAACCAGCCACCTGCTGCTCAGAATCCGCACCTGGGGAACCCAAAATGCTAAGGTGTCGATACCGCTACTCCCCGGACATCTACCAGGGTGCGTTCTGACCAGGATTTCGAAGCGAATCCAGCGGCGGCGACGAGGCCTTTCCAGGAGGCCCAAAAAGGGGAAAAAGAGGGAAGGGTAGAGGTATGGGTACCTTTTCCTCCTCTGAGTACCAGAGCTCGCCAGCTGCAAGAGCGAGCGGTGCTGCATGTGCCGCCTGCGCGAAACGCCAAGCAGCCAGCAGAGCTGCCCGAGCGTCCAGATGCAGAAGAACAGGCAGGCAAAGGCGAGGTCCACAGTGCCAGCAGCAGCAACAGCCGATTGGCCGAGCACTCCCTGTCCGAGCATGCTGGTCACGATATTACCAAAGATAATGCCCAGCACAGTCAGCTGGCAGAACATCGCGTACTGATCGAAGATCGTGGCGTAGGCCACCTTCGGGAGCTTGTTGTCCTGCGAGAGCCGAAAAGTGATCTGCGCGAAGAGGACGGCCACACCGATGCGGAGCCTGTCAAATATGTACGAGTCCGGGAGCACGAAGCCCGTGAAGCTGGATGTGACGATGGCAATCAGAGTGATGAAGACGTTCACGAGGTAGTACCAATATCTTCGGGAGATCATAACGCCGAACTGAATGCGGGCGCGACCGTCCGGGGAGTCGCTGTGCGCGAAGCTGCGCATGATCTGCCACTCCTCCAGGCGAATGCTCTCGTCCACGCGGCAGAACTGGCAGGCCAGCACGCGGTCGCGGTCGCGCCGCGCCCGCAGCCCGAGGACGAGCACCAGCCGCTGGGCGTCGAAGGGGAAGAGACGCATGTCGAGCTCCATCTGGACGAGGGCCTGGTACAGGATCTTACACGCTACGTGGCCTGTCTCCGAGGAAACGACCCTGGGCCGCGACCGGATCTTCAAGCTGGTGGCCAGGGTGTTCTGCAACTCTATCTCGGGGATGCTCAGCAAGCCCGCCGAGGCCTCATCCAGATCGCCCGTGGGGAGGCCGACTGCTGCCTTGTCCAGCCACTCGACAAAGATCGTGAAGCGGCACTGGAAAGTGGAGTTCAGGGGGTTGACATTGCGGATCAGCTGGATACTGCACGAACAAACCACAACCTGATCCGGTGGGCTTTTAGCGGAATCGGTTTGTTCCTTCGCGACCATCTTGAATCGCAGCTTGCTGCGGATACTTTGCAGCTGACTGTATAGCGTGGGCATGAGGCAGTCGTCTCCATCGGAGATAGAGCTGATAGAGACCACCGAACCATCGCGCTTGCTAAAGGGAGTACCGCAGTCTGAGTCCAAGCTCGCTGTCGATGTGAAGCGACTGATATCAACACGGCTGGATGCAGGGTCCTTGGGACTCTGCAGGGCGGGGCCTGCGCTGCCTGCATCGCTGCGCCCGATCAGGCGCGGGAGCTGCACGTCTGCAGGCGTAGAACTCTGCTTACCAAGCTCTGCGCAACTGGCGATCGCCTCGCCACCTCCCCTGGGCGTTTCGCCCAAGTTCTTGCTACCGGTGCGCCCTCGACCCGCTTCGTCAAATTGCATCCGGCGCGTTTGGTGGACGCATGGCAGCCCAGGGTACGAGGCAAAGTCGACGTGCACCACCTCGAAGCACTCCAGGTCCTGCCTGTACTGCACGTTGTCCAGGGCCTGGTCGCGTCCAGCCGAGCTCGAAAGGTTGAAGTGCACGAGGCTCGAGTTCACCACTCGCCGCAGCCTTCCAGTGCTCACGTCCCTCTCCAGCCTCGACGCCCCCGTTTCCAGCTCATCCGCAAGCGAGCGCAGCGAGGCGACCGTGAACTCTCCCCATAAGCAAACGTTCACGCCACCCATTTCGAGGAGGGCCCGCAGCAGCCCAGGCTCCAACGGGACACTACCGACGGGCTCGAAGGAGGACTCCTGGCCCTTAGAGGGGTCACCAGCGTCTGCGGCGGAGAGCGCCTTGATGTCTGGCAATCCCTTCACCTTGCTCTCATGAGCCTTGCTGGTGTCGGTCCACCTCCAAACGTTGACCTTGTCTGCCTCCTTCGTCTCGAACTCGTCCTCCAGGATTCCAGTCTGCCGCAGCCTCTCCAGCCCTGACTCTACCACCTGCACGCTGCAGTAATGCGTGGTGTAGACGCAAGGGAGACCCGGAAAAGAAGCCGACTCCATGTGCTCTGACAGGCAGCAGTACGTCTCTGGCACAAACTGGAAGTAGTCCTCAGGCGGCGACAGGTCTGAGGGCAGGTCGAGCTCCTCGAAGATACCGCGAATGGCCGTCACCGCGGCGTCTGCGTCATTCGGGTTCTTCTTCTCTGCCAGCAGCATGTTGCGCTGGCGGGTCGTGCCACCACTGAGGCGCTGCTCCACCTCCACGAGCACCCGGTCGCCCCAGCGCAGCTGCACGAACACTGGCTCCACAACGCGCTGCAGGCCCGGGGTGCCCTCCGTCCTCTCCAGGCACGACTCACCCCCCTGGACCTCCTTGAGGAGCGCGGACAAGGATTTCGCCTTCCCCGTCCCATAGCTGGCCGGGTCGATCCCCCCGGCCCGCATGACACCTGCCAGGGCCTCCTCGCTGGACAGCTCCCCTGACCCCAATGCGCGCGTGTCGTGGTCTCCCGCCTTCTCTTCTGCACCCGCGAGGGCCGACGACGGGCTGCTGGACGACATCATCTTGGGCGGGAATTTCACCACACCTTCCTGCAGCGCCTTCTCGGCGTCGCTCCACCTCCAGAAGTGCGTCGTGGTGCCGAGCGAGCTGGTTTCCGACGTGGTGAAGGGTGTGCACCCAGGCAAACCGCACTTGGAGAATAGGTGGAGGCCACCGTCAAGGATGTCGACCTGCACGTGGTGCGTGCGGTAGACCGACAACAAGCTGGGGTAGGAGGGCGACTCAATCTGCTCGATCTCGAAGTGGTAAGTGTCTGGGCGGTAACGGAGCGCTCCGTCCTGAAGCAAAACCTCGCGCGGGATGCCGAGCTCCTCGTTCAGCCCACGCACCACTGTTGCCATGAAGCCACCGCCGTCGCTGGGTTCTTTCTTCTCGGCGAGGAGCATGTTGCGCTGACGCATGCGTCCGTCCACCATCCTTTGCGATTCCTGCACTAGCACGCGCCCGCGCCAGCGCAGGCGGATGAAGACCGGCTCCACGATGCGGAGCACCTGGGAGCTCCTCTGCTGAGAAAGGTCGCGGGTGCCCTCGTGAGCGCCGGGGAACTCCAGGAAGCAGGACTGGCCGCGCAGCTCCCCCAAGAGCTGCGAAATCGTCTTCGCGGAGCCCACGCCAAAGAGCTGGGTGTTCACGCCGTGCTTCTCCAAGAGGGTGCTCAACGCTTCCTCGCTGCGCATCCACGACGCGGGGGCCGCCTCACTGGCCTTCCTCGCCGCGGGCGGAGAATCGAGCATGGAGAGGCGGCGCAAAGGCGGAGACGCTGAAGAATTCATGGCGCCGGAGGGTCCGGACGGAACTGTCTGACCTGGCATGCAGGCAACGTGGGCCTGTGAAAGGGCGGCTGCAGGCCGCAAGTCTGGAAGGAAACCAAGGCGAAACGACTTGGGCCAATGCGCCACGGACCTCCGCACACATGGACGTTCGTTCGCCGCCAGCTTCGCCATACGGGGGAAGCATCACTCACGTGGCCCTCGCAATGGTAAGCATCGAACGACCACTACCGCACGCATCACCCACTGGAGGGTTCAAGTTGCAGCACGCTGCCACCGACCCTCAAGGAGCGTAACCCAGGAAAGCACATACACATATCTATACGTATCTTCGAACGGCCCTGCAAGTGGTGTGATGGCGGTAAAAGGGGGGGAAGGTGGGGGGGGAGGTGGATGCCTGTTTTTGCGGATGGCGGAGAAAGGGGCCCTGTTGCGCAGGGGCCCGAGCCACTCCCACAAACTTGATGCCCCAGGGTGGTGGGTGGGTTGTTCAAAATCGGCCGAACGACTGAGCCCATGTGGCCACAGGCACTGGGCACAGCGAGAGGCTACGCCTTCGTGTTGTCACACGGGGGCATATGCTCGAAGGGCCCTACAGTCAACCTGCACAATAAGGACGCACGATAAGCATACAAGGGCCTTGGAAGGCCACGCCGATACTTTGCGGGCGGGGCGCGGCCTGCGAAGGCGGCCAAGGATAGGCCGACTGGGGAAGGATGCAAGGGTACCC